TGTAATTTTTATAGATCTGTTATCAACTGGATCACCGACCATAATAATAGCAACTTCATCAACGGTTGGTGCATTGAATCTGCCAGTGTGCTCTCCCATAGGCACTTTGTACGCTTTAATGACAATTTGATAATTGTGACTTTTTAACTGAGGTGACACTCTTTTAAACAATTGAACCAATTGATTATTGCTCTCCAAAAATAATTCTTACGACAATACAATTGCTCTCTCTTCTGCTTGTTCAATCAAATTATACTGGCATCGAGTTGTTACACGTTCTTCGCAATTAATTGCCCATAAAATAAATCTGAAGAAATTTTGAATCTTCATTTGGCATCGTCAATGATCCAATTTTATGCTATACCTTGCCTTGAATTTTGAATGTTGTTTCGAAATTAAGACGATCAGATGACAAATCACAGCACGAATTAAATTTTCGTGTCTCACGCAAAAATAATTTGATTCATTTGAATTGCCAGGAAGAAGGGATTTCAAAGGTTCAGGTGGAGTAGGGAGTGGTGGAAATACAACTTTTCCTGACGCGCAACACATTCATTGTGAAATTTTAACGCCGGACAATAATTGCATATTTTGTCCATCGGCCCAATAGTGACTTTAGAATCAGCCGAGTAATTGATGTCTGATTAGTAATTAAATGCAAGAAGCACAAATGATCGACGTGTTACTGCGCGATTGGTCCGATGATTTTCTCGGTTTTGTTCTCTAAATGAATCAATGTGTTGTTGACGTGCCACCTGGCTTCCAATGCATTTTCTTGTCGACGATTATCACGCTGTTCTCGTGCACCAATTTCAGCTGTACGAATTCTTTGAGCTGCTTTCTTTCTGCTCTCTGTTCGACTGATTCATGAGCTATTTCAACAAGTGCACGTCGAGTCTCTTTGCTACGGGGGTTAAGGTTCGATTTTTTGGGTGGCATTTTACTAAAAATAGTAATTGAATTTTAAATGTGGATGAATTTCGCAGTTCTCTGATTTTGTAGATTATATATTTGGTTGTATTTATGTAAGTGTAAATTAGAAGTAAAACAAAATGTTAATTTTTAAGAGCCGGTTAGCAAATAAACCGCTGTAAAATTTGAAATTCAGTTAAACGAAAAGGTCTCCACTTTTTGTATTTGGTGCTTTTGTTGTGGGTTGTTTTCCAATTGAAGAAATAATAAATATATGTTCGCGTAAGGTTGCAAAGTCCTTAAGTTTTTTTGCTTGTTTTTTCAATGATGAGTGAGCAATAAAAAATAAATGTAAAACAATACAGTCAAAGCCAGTACTTTTATAAATCAGCTAAAATATATTGTTTTTCTAACTTGCAATGTTTTTAAACTGAACTAAGATTTATCATTCCTTACCACTGTTGGGGGGAAGTGAAGAGACCTTCACTGAGCTGAGAATTATTTCATTATTAAATGATATTATATTATCATTTTTTTTATTTTTAAATTTGGAAGCCTTATATACTATTTTTCAAAATATCCTAAATAACTAAATATATGTGTATGTTTATACATATGTTATCGAAAAGAAACCACATATCCACTCTCAGTTTGGATTTCGAGAAAGCTTTCGACAGAGTTGGTTCTCATGTCATTCTACGACAACTTGAGAAGTGGCAAATTGGTGAAAAGACATTTAACTTTATTAAATCTTTCCTAATCAAACGTAAATTCATGACTAAAATAAATAACACTTTTTCGAATACGTACAATATGTACAACGGAATACCACAAGGATCAAAATTGTCTGTCACACTATTTGTAATCGCATTTAACGAAATCAGTACGATAATCTCTAAATATAAACTCATTTCGCATATTATTTATGCTGATGATGTGCTGATCTTCTCCAAGCAAAATAATCTTAATACTGTTAAAAATACCTTCTTAAAAATCCTTTCTGATATTTCAAATTGGTCCAATTGTTCATGTGCGAATATTTCTATAAACAAATGTACATTATTCCATATCTGTAGAAAACACAAATGCAATAACTTCTTTCTTAACTATAATAATGTAAATATTGTAAATACTACTAGTCTTAAATTCCTAGGTTTAATATTTGATAAAAGACTTACTTTTGAGGAACATTGTACAAATCTACGTAAGCATCTAATTTCTAGGCTTAATATAATTAGGTATCTATCATCGAAATATTGTTTAATTCACATTTCTTCTCTCATCAATATTACCAGAGCTTTAATTTTATCTAAGATTGATTATGGTCTCCCTATCTACGATTTACGCAATTGTGCCAAAAGCAACATAAAGCAAATATTTGCACCATATCATGCAGCCGTTAGAAGAAGTATTCGGGCATTCCAAACATCACCAGTAAAGTTCACATTAACGGCAGCCGGACTCCCATTCATCGAGGAAAGAGTTTTACATACTTCGCAAAAGCTGATTCCAAAACTACTATTATGTAATAACAAGCTCTTATATGGTATAGTAAAAGCCAAATGGACCGACGATACAAACTCCAATACTTCTTCGACATCTACGTTCGAGCTACATAACATCATAAAAATAACACCAATTCCTGGGTACTTATATCAAAGTTTGTTCAAAGAGCTTATTGTGCAACACTACGTAGATTGGCAACTCATTTTTACTGACGCTTCGAAGGCCGACTCCTACACGTCTTTTGCTATTGTTGATAACGTTTTAACTACGTTGAAAGCTGGACTCCTGCAGGAGGGCAAAAAACCTGCTTATCTGCCATCAGGCCGTTGCCAAGATATAAAAGCCTTTGTTCGCCTTCGTCTTGGTCATACGTCATTAACGCATTCCCATTTATTAAATGGAAACCTTAATTCAACCTGTCTATATTGTAGTTCGTCCTCCATAACTATAACAAATCTACTGGATGAATGCCCCTTCTTCAATTCAGCAAGGACCAGTATATTTCAGAATAATAAAGCTCTTGATTTATTAAAAATAACGTCTATTGTAAACATCACTAAAATAATTGAATATCTATTTCGTACAAAGTTAAAGAAATATATTTAAGTTATCCTTCCTTTTTAAAATTTATTTTTAACATATATTTTTAGCTCATAAAAACACATTGCTTGTAAATAATTCTTAAATAGAAGGTTCCATCTTTATTATTTTTTAAATCGTTTATATTAAAACCGTGAGCCGAAAGCCTCTATAGCTAGTACTCCTTATGTTTAGTGTATAATAATAATTGTATTATTATTTTACAAATAGTAAATAAATAAAAGATTGAAAAAATACTATAAAAGACAAATACCTCAAAATATAATAAAGGTTATTAAAATCTGAAAACAAATAATAATTACATTGAATTTGTAATATCTACAAGAAAGACTAATTGTATAAAATGATAATAATATCTGAAAGAAAGAATTAATATTATCTGRAAAAATAAAATATATTAAATACAAATAGAATTTACTCTGAAAGCAAACATTAATTAAATAAAAATAATAATAACATATCAAAGAAAAGATAAATATTATTTGATCATTTAAAATATAAAACAAACATTTGTTTGCACATATTATATTGGATTGTGCAGGCCGCCTTAAACGCATAAAATACATACTTATGTACATACATATGTAATTATTTTTATATTATACATTGGACTGCGCAATCCAATTTCAAACAACACACACTTATTCTCACATACTTAACAATTTACATTTGTTGCTTCTGATGATATTGCTGCTGGTGCTATTTCCAATTCAGTTCTGGGGGGTTGCTCTGTAAGGCGTTGCGCAAGTCTAAACGCTAATTAATGAAAAAAGCAACTCTGTAAGACGACAAGCGCATTGAAAATCGCGTTTTGCGCATTTATTTTTACCCCTTCGAAATGGCAGAACTCTGTATAGAGTAAACGACAGTCAAATCTGTGCGTTTAACGAATTTTTGATTCGATATCAAACTGGCAAGCGCAGCGGACAAAAAATTTATGTTTATAAGGCATATTTGTAATTTTAATTTAAAAAAAAATGTATTTAACAGGAAACATTCTAAAAATAAACAAACAAACCCAACACAATTCGAAATTTTAATTAATTATATTAAAACACATTCGGAACTTTCCAAAGGGCAACTGAAAATTGTGGACGCGAAAAATACTGCAAATAATTTATGGAAAGAGTTGGTATGTGACCTTAATGCTGCGGGGCCACCATCGCGCGATGTTTTAAAATGGAAAAAGGTAAAAAAATTAATTATAAATGATTTTTGAAGCACATATTACTTAATTATTTAAAGGTTTGGTCGGATTATAAAACCCATTTGAAAGCAAAAATGCGGCGGAACAAACAAAGTATCTCTGGAACTGGTGGTGGTCCTCCAAGTCATTGCTCCTTAACACCGTTGTAGGAGGAGGTTAGTGAGCTTCTTGCAATGGAAATATCCGTCAGTGGAATAAGCGGCGCCTTAGAATTTGGTGCAGCACAGTTAAGGCAACCAAGTGGGTCAGACATCACAACCGACGAATTCCGACAGAATGAACCGACGCCGGTGGATGAAATGCCACATTGTTCACGTCAAAGAATCGCACCGCAAAAGAAAGAGGGTCTTTTAAATAAGCAGGTGGATAACCAAATCGCTTATCACAAAGGTTCATTAAAAGTGTTGTCTGAAACTAATGAAAACCTAAAGGTGATTTCAAAATGTATGAAAAAAAAACATAAAATGGGTAAAAGAAAATATAAATGGGCTGTTGAAAAATTCGAGCACAGAAAAGGATTGATTTGGACAAAACAAAACTAAAATTTGCAACATTAGAACTAAAAAAGCACACCGTTACTTATTTTTTAATACTTACTGATAATTATTTATTTATTATATTAATAGTTTAAATGAATTCTTTTGATTTAAAAACGTATTTTGTGTTGATGTGATAGTTTTTACTTTTTATTACACATATAATACTTACATATACAGATATGCATATACATACATGTGGAAGAGACTAAACCTTTATGTGAAAATGTGAAAAATTAAAAAGTCTACTTTATTAAATAGTGTTACATGTTTATAAAGTAATCATGCTGTTTTTTATTTGATCTCTACAACGTTTAGCAATATTGGTTTCATTCGCATTTCCTATTGTTTCAGTATAACTAGCATCGACTTCTTCAACTTCTATTGCTATATTTGCAGGTGATTCTACATTAAAAAGAGTGCAAATATTATGAAGAGCACAACATACGTTCTAAATTTGCACCACTTTTTCTGGGGCATAATGTAGTTCTCTAGCAGCTAAAAGGCATCGGAACCGTGCTCTTAACACTCCAAATACTCGATCGATAAGGGATCTGGCTTTTGAAAATTTGTAGTTGTAGTAATTTTCAGCAGAGTTTTCAGCAGCATTTCTGTATGGAGTTAAAATCCATAGCTCAAGCGGATATCCAGAGTCGCTTATAAGAAAAAAATTAAGTTAGCAAAATAAGTGATGCATATAATAGCTAAAATTAACGAATGTGTATATGCTCACCAAGAATGCGAATTCCTATTTCTCCATTCATATAGTTGGTTTGTAAATATTGGCGCTCGCTTGACAAATTCCACACATGTGAATCATGACACGCCCCAGTAAACCGACGGTTAACGGCTTTTATCATCATATTATGATCACATATCTAGGTTTTGGAAACAAAATTTATAAAAAAAAAACAAAGATAAATTAAAAAACAATTGCCTTACCACCAAAGCGATTATACTATGCTTTAATTTCCTATTGAAATATAAATGCTATCATTTGGATGTGAGTACCATCCACCACTCCAATTACTCCTGGAATTAAAGACACTGAGTAAAAAACTGGTTTCTCTTCATTTTTTCTCCTCTGAAGACATTGCAAAAGTTATGTGTTTTGGACACAGCACTTTCTCAATTGCTTTACAAACTTCAAACACACAACGCGAAACAGTTTGTTGAGCTAGGCCTGTATGGAGATCTTGTCCAATTTGCGTTTGATACCTTCCCTGCGAAAAAAAATTTTAAAGTTGCCGCTAATTTCACAATTTCGGGTATTCCTGTGGACCTGCGTGGGGTTTTTAGCTCACTACTTATGCTATCCAACACATATTTGAATGATTCCTTGCTTAAGCGAAAGTTTTGCATGAAACTATTTACGAGTAGAAGTACAAACAAATTTAAAGAATCACATTACCCTTTATCATTTAAACCTTCCTTTTTGACTAAGACTGATCACATTAGACTTGTCTCTAATAATTTTCCGCTCAACTCGTACATTTTTTGTGTTTTCCTCCCATAACACAACGGAATCCATATTCACACCTTTTTTATTGATTTAAAATTACTTTTATATATAAAAATCTTCAAATTTAATCATGTTTGTCTGTCAATTTTCTACACTTCTTCACTTTTCTGTTATTGATTTTGTTTTCATTCTCCTTCGTTTCGGTCAGTAATGTCAACTATACTGGAGATATGTCAACGGGAAAACAGTACAAGTGTTTACAATGTAAAAGTGTTACAGAGTACCGATTGCCCTGCGCAACGCATTGCTATTCGTTACGCCTTATAGAGTAACCCCCCTGATTTCCAATGCTATAAAAATAAAAAATCACATAAAATTCATTCACTTACCTCAATTTTTTTTTTTATTTCCCTTTGTGGGTTTTTTTTTGGCACTATTGACAATTATGTTTTCTCCGTTGCACTCATTCAAATACATCAAGAAATGAAGGAAACTTTTCATCGCATTTAGGCAGAGAACGTATAATATAGAGAACGTTCAACTACGGACAAGCGTATGAACTGTCAAGAGCCATGAATTTTCTATTAGTGGATTTCACCACTTTTGGCTCGGCAGGAGAAACTTTAAMAGAAATGAGTGAACAGAGCTGAGAATTCAATGAGAATTATGCTCTGAAATATACATTTCTTTTACAGGCGCCTGTTGGCCTTTTGGCTTATATTTTTATACGTTTACATGCTATCATATCAATTGATATGAATATGATTTTGCGAATTTTTATGAAGTCATGCAAAATTGATAACATTATTTTTAATTTATGCAATTCTCCAAGCAATTTTTGTAGTTAATGGGCAAATGAGCTTCTTTTTAAATATTTCTTATCTTTGATAATGTAATATAATTTCATGTGTATGCATATATTTGCTACATATGTATGTATGTACATATATGATATATTATCATAATATCTTAAAAAAATTAGTATATTACAACAATAATATATATATATAAATCACACCTTTTATCATTTAAAACTTTGATAGGCATCTTTCCTGCAGATATGTATGTACATACAAATCTAAGTACAAATCAATCTCAAATCAAGATATTATCATTTATCAGTGAAATAACATGCGCGCGCTGCTCTACCTGTAAATACACATATACATACATATRTGCGTATGACATTGCTACACAAATAATGTATACACAAACCTACTTATAAACATATCTGTATATACATGTATGTCGCCCGCGAAAACTTCAAATATTGTTCTACAAAAACAACAATCGTCTTAAACATCATCATACATACTTATATGCGTACACATGTAAATATGTCTCCCGCAAAAATTACAAATACTGTTTACAAAAACAACAATCGTCTGAAATAGCATCAGAAATCAATATG